ATGGAAGGTAGTCTGTTGTCGAGATTTTTGTTACAATAATGGATGGTAGCCTTGTCATTATGGAAGGTAGTCTATTGTCGAGATTTTTATTACTACAATGGATGGTAGCCTTGTCATTATGGAAGGTAGACTGTTGTCGAGATTTATGTTGCTCTAATGGATAGTATCCTTGTCATTATGGAAGGTAGTCTGTTATCGAGAATTTTATTACTTCAATGAATGGTAGCCATGTCATTATTGAAGGTAGTCTGTCATTGTGATTTCTGTTACTCCAATTGACGGTAGCCTTGTCATTATGGAAGGTAATCTGCTATCCAGATTTTTGTTAATCCAATGGATTGTAGCCTTGTCATTATGGAAGGTAGTCTCTTGTTGATATTATTGTTACTACAATGGATGGTAGCCTTGTAATTTTGGAAGGTAGTCTGTTGTCGAGGTTTTTATTACTCTAATGGATGGTAGCAGTGTCATTATGGAAGGTAGTCTGCTGTCTAGATTTTTGTTACTCCAATGGATGGTAGCCTTGTAATTATGGATGGTAGTCTATTGTCTAGATTTTTGTTACTCCAATGGATGGTAGCCTTGTCATTTTGGAAGGTAGTCTGTTGTCGAGATTTTTCTTACTCCAATGGATAGTAGCCTTTTAATTATGTAAGGTAGTTTGTTGTCGAGTTTTTTGTTACTCCAATGGATGGTAGACTTGTCATTATGGAAGGTAGTCTGTCATTGTGATTTCTGGTACTCCAATGGATGGTAGCCTTGTCATTATGGAAGATAATATGTTGTCGATATCTTTGTTACTCCAATGGATGGTATCCTTGTCATTACGGAAGGTAGTCTGTTGTCGACATTTGTGTTACTCCAATGGATGGTAGCCTTGTCATTATGGAGTGTAGTCTCTTGTTGATATTTTTGTTACTACAATGGATGGTAGCCTTGTCATTTTGGAAGGTATTCTGTTGTCGAGATTTTTGTTACTCTAATGGATGGTAGCCTTGTCATTATGGAACGTAGTCTGCTGTCGAGATTTTTGTTACTCCAATGGATGGTAGAATTGTCATTATGGAAGGTAGTCTGTTGTTGAAATTTTTGTTACTACAATGGATGGTAGCCCTGTTATTATGGAAGGTAGTCTGTTGTCGAGATTTTTGTTACTACAATGGATGGTAGCCTTGTCATTTTGGAAGGTAGTCTGCTGTCGATATTTTTGTTACTCTAATGGATGGTATCCTTGTCATTATGGAAGGTTGTCTGTTGTCGGGATTTTTATTACTCTAGTTGATGGTAGCCTTGTCATTATGGAAGGTAGTCTGTTCTCGAGATTTTTGTTACTACAATGAATGGTAGCCTTGTCATTATGGAACTTAGTCTGTTGTCGAGACTATTGTTACTCCAATGGATTGTAGCCTTGTCATTGTTGAAGGTAGTCTGTTGTCGAGATTTTTTTTACTCCAATGGATGGTAGCCTTTTCATTATGTAAGGTAGTTTGTTGTCAAGATTTTTGTTACTCCAATGGATGGTAGACTTGTCATTATGGAAGTAGTCTGTCATTGTGACTTCTGGTACTCCAATGGATGGTAGCCTTGTCATTATGGAAGATAGTATGCTGTCGATATCTTTGTTACTCCAATGGATGGTAGCCTTGTCATTACGGAAGGTAGTCTGTTGTCGAGATTTTTGTTACTCCAATGGATTGTAGCCTTGTCATTATGGAAGGTAGTCTCTTGTTGATATATTTGTTACTACAATGGATGGTAGCCTTGTCATTATGTAAGGTAGTCTGTTGTCGAAATTTTTGTTACTACAATGGATGGTAGCCTTGTCATTTTGGAAGGTAGTCTATTGTCGAGATTTTTGTTACTCTAGTGGATGGTAGCCTTGTCATTATGGAAGGTAGTCTGCTGTCTAGATTTTTGTTACTCCAATGGATGGTAGCCTTGTCATTATGGAAGGTAGTTTGTTGTCGAAATTTTTGTTACTATAATGGATGGTAGCCTTGTCATTATGGAAGGTAGTATGTTGTCGAGATTTTTGTTACTACAATGGATGGTAGCCTTATCATTTTTGAAGGTAGTCTGTTGTCGATATTTTTGTTACTCAAATGGATGGTATCCTTGTCATTATGGAAGGTTGTCTGTTGTCGGGATTTTTATTACTCTAATGGATGGTAGCCTTGTCATTATGGAAGGTAGTCTGTTCTCGAGATTTTTGTTACTACAATGGATGGTAGCCTTGTCATTATGGAACTTAGTCTGTTGTCGAGATTTTTTTTACTCCAATGGATTGTAGCCTTGTCATTATGGAAGGTAGTCTCTTGTTGATATTTTTGTTACTCCAATGGATTGTAGCCTTGTCATTATGGAAGGTAGTCTGTTGTCGAGATTATTGTTACTCCAATGCATGGTAGCCTTTTCATTATGTAAGGTAGTTTGTTGTCGAGTTTTTTGTTACTCCAATGGATGGTAGACTTGTCATTATGGAAGTAGTCTGTCATTGTGACTTCTGGTACTCCAATGGATGGTAGCCTTGTCATTATGGAAGATAGTATGCTGTCGATATCTTTGTTACTCCAATGGATGGTAGCCTTGTCATTACGGAAGGTAGTCTGTTGTCGAGATTTTTGTTACTCCAATGGATTGTAGCCTTGTCATTATGAAAGGTAGTCTATTGTCTAGATTTCTGTTACTCCAATGGATGGTAGCCTTGTCATTTTGGAAGGTAGTCTGTTGTCGAGATTTTTGTTACTCCAATGGATAGTAGCCTTTTCATTATGTAAGGTAGTTTGTTGTCGAGTTTTTTGTTACTCCAATGGATGGTAGACTTGTCATTATGGAAGGTAGTCTGTAATTGTGATTTCTGGTACTCCAATGGATGGTAGCCTTGTCATTATGGAAGATAGTATGTTGTCGATATCTTTGTTACTCCAATGGATGGTATCCTTGTCATTACGGAAGGTAGTCTGTTGTCGACATTTGTTATACTCCAATGGATGGTAGCCTTGTCATTATGGAGTGTAGTCTCTTGTTGATATTTTTGTTACTACAATGGATGGTAGCCTTGTCATTTTGGAAGGTATTCTGTTGTCGAGATTTTTGTTACTCTAATGGATGGTAGCCTTGTCATTATGGAACGTAGTCTGCTGTCGAGATTTTTGTTACTCCAATGGATGGTAGCCTTATCATTATGGAAGGTAGTCTGTTGTCGAAATTTTTGTTACTACAATGGATGGTAGCCCTGTTATTATGGAAGGTAGTCTGTTGTCGAGATTTTTGTTACTACAATGGATTGTAGCCTTGTCATTGTTGAAGGTAGTCTGTTGTCGAGATTTTGTTTACTCCAATGGATGGTAGCCTTTTCATTATGTAAGGTAGTTTGTTGTCAAGATTTTTGTTACTCCAATGGATGGTAGACTTGTCATTATGGAAGTAGTTTGTCATTGTGACTTCTGGTACTCCAATGGATGGTAGCCTTGTCATTATGGAAGATAGTATGCTGTCGATATCTTTGTTACTCCAATGGATGGTAGCCTTGTCATTACGGAAGGTAGTCTGTTGTCGAGATTTTTGTTACTCCAATGGATTGTAGCCTTGTCATTATGGAAGGTAGTCTCTTGTTGTTTTATTTGTTACTACAATGGATGGTAGCCTTGTCATTTTGGAAGGTTGTTTGCTGTCGAGGTTTTTGTTACTCTAATGGATGGTAGCCTTGTCATTATGGAAGGTAGTCTGCTGTCGAGATTTTTGTTACTCCAATGGATGGTAGCCTTGTCATTATGGAAGGTAGTCTGTTGTCGAAATTTTGGTTACTCTAATGGATGGTATCCTTGTCATTATGGAAGGTTGTCTGTTGTCGGGATTTTTATTACTCTAGTTGATGGTAGCCTTGTCATTATGGAAGGTAGTCTGTTCTCGAGATTTTTGTTACTACAATGGATGGTAGCCTTGTCATTATGGAACTTAGTCTGTTGTCGAGACTTTTGTTACTCCAATGGATTGTAGCCTTGTCATTGTTGAAGGTAGTCTGTTGTCGAGATTTTTTTTACTCCAATGGATGATAGCCTTTTCATTATGTAAGGTAGTTTGTTGTCAAGATTTTTGTTACTCCAATGGATGGTAGACTTGTCATTATGGAAGTAGTTTGTCATTGTGACTTCTGGTACTCCAATGGATGGTAGCCTTGTCATTATGGAAGATAGTATGCTGTCGATATCTTTGTTACACTACAAGAAAATTGGCAGATTGCGACAGGTATTTTTGTAGATTACGACGGTTAAAATCGTCGCAATTTGCTTTCCACGACGGTTGCTTTACCGTCGCAGAAGTGTGTGTCCCCAACCTATTTCGCGACGGTTACAAAAACTGTCGTTCTAGTTTACGACGGGTTGATACCGTCGTGACTATCTTTTGAGTTTCTTTTAATTATTGATGGCGACGGTTCGATACTGTCGTGAATATTTTGTGAAATTGATTAAATTGTTTATGGCGACGGTTCGATACCGTCATGACTTTTGTTGATTATTTTTAATTGTTGATTACGACGGTTCGGTACTGTCGCCATGGCTTTTGTTTATGTCTTGATTTTTTTTTATTTTTCTATTATATATATTTTTTATTTAAATTATTATCTATGTAAAAAATTTTAAATATAGTTTTTTTTTGTGTTATTTTTTTCTTTAAATTATTTCTTTAATATATTTATTTATAGTATTATTTTTTATTTTATTTTCTATCACTTTGTAATATAGTAAAAATAATTTCAATAAAAAATATTTAACTAGCAAATTGTTGATAAGAGATAAGAGAAAACTAGGGAAAAAAATCATTGAGATGGCATTTTTCTTAACATATAAGGGTTAAAAAATGTAAAGACCAACACATTAGACAAATGCATTACACTCATACAAGATTAAAACATATGAACCTAACCCAACCAATATAATTATTCTAAGGCCACACTTTATTCATTTTCCACCATCCTAACAACACAAGATATTGCTTCTTCAAAAGATTGGTCCAGCAGCAAGAATCTCTTCTGTGAGGTTGTCACCACCCTTTCCAATTGTGTAGTTGGTGAATGTTTCAAAATTTTTCCTGAACAATCCAGCCAACTTCAACAATGTCTCATTGTAGGCATCTTTGTCAGTCCACTGCAATCCATTACAAACTTCGTTAGAGATTATTTTCGAAGTGTTTTATTAGTACTTTGGCGTGTATAGATCGAGTATAGAATAACTAACCGCATTAACAGGATCGAGAATTTCTGAAGGGACACCCTCTACAGCTGTTGGGGTCTCAAGGCCAAAAATATTACTCTTCTTGTACTCTGCCTTCAGGAGGCTCCCATTGTGAATAGCATCAATTATTTTTCTAGTATAACTTAGTTTGATACGGTTTCCGGTACCATAGTTGCCACCAGACCAACCGGTGTTAACAAGCCACCCTGTTGCACCATGACTCTCCATTTTTTCAGCAAGCATTGCAGCATATTTTGTAGGGTGTAACATTATAAATGCTGCACCAAAACAGGCCGAAAATGTTGCTTGTGGCTCCTTTATGCCATCCTCAGTTCCAGCAACCTACATTTGTTATTGTTCAAAAATATGGTTACAGTAGTTCGATCAAAGATCAGACAATCTAGATTTCAAAACTCGGTATTTTAGATAGGATGAAATTCACTAGTAAGGTAATATGTATGAAGAAATTAGATAGGATGAAATATTACCAGAGCTGTATATCCACTGATGAAATGGTACATGGTCTGCGCCAGGTTTAGTTTACTCACAGGCGGTAGCACACCAAATGCATCACATGCCAAAAGAATAACATTCTTTGGATGAGGTCCAACACATGGTAGCTTTGCATTTGGAATGTACTCAATAGGATAGGCCGCACGAGTATTTTCTGCAATAAAAGATCACCACGCATAAAGCACCAATGTGTATAAGAACACCACACATAAAGCACCAATGTGTATACTAGACACGACACTGACATATCAGCATGAATTAACTATGCCTTCAATCAGAAGTGTTGGTGCTAAGAAGACTTCTTCTAATAGGTGACTACAATTTACAACTTGGCAAATTCAATAAAATTCAGCAGCTGGCAAGTAGAAGTTTGAATCACTTGTTTATCTGTCATTTTAAATGTTTGTGGCTTTATCCCTTGTGCTGTATAACAAGAGGTTTATATTTTAATAAAAAGTGACCTTTCAGAATAACATACAATAGATTACTTGTTACATATGAAGTACATGTTGTAAGGATTGTACGAAGTCAACTGTTAATATTGGCAAGACAAAGTCAAAGCTTAGTCCTCTTTTTGTCAGCTAAGAACAAATAATTTTAAATAAAACAATCTTAGTCATTACTCAGCCAAAATTGATGAAGTCAACCCTAAACAAAAGAATTAAGAGAATCCAAATACTCAACTTGATATTAAAAAAATTATTGTTTACCTGTAACTGATTTGTCAGAGTAATCAACTTCTCTAGTGTGCTCATCAAACACCACGTTTTCCAGCACTGATAATTGCAAAAGGAAAAAAAATTCAAATATATATTTCAAACATTATAAAATATTTAGACCGTGACAGTTTTTTTAAAATATTTTTGCACCACGACATACCTGTACCAAACCTAATTGCGTTCCAGATATCAGGCTCTTTCTCCCGGGACAGATCAATGCATTTAGCATAACAACCACCTTCAATGTTGGAGACACCATTCTCACTCCAGCAATGTTCATCATCTCCGATCAAATACCTATTATGATCGGTAGAAAGAGTAGTCTTTCCGGTACCTGTTTTTTTCCAAAAAGATAAATAAAAAAAATCCATTAGAATTATAAGAAAATGAGAACAAAATCCATAACCAATTTCGATGGCTAAGTATATAGATATCGAGTGGAGTATAGGATAAGGAAGGGAACGTATCGTGGGCCGTATGGCTGGTTGGAAGAGGTAACCTAACCAACCACATTGATTACTATACCTGAGAGTCCAAAGAAGAGTGCAACATCACCATCTTTGCCCATATTGCAACCAGAGTGTAAGGAGAGAATTTGGCGCTTAGGCATGAGATAATGCATGACACTGAAAAGACCTTTCTTCATTTCCCTGGCATATTGTGTGCCGAGGATAACCATTTCCCTTCTAGCAAGATTAAGATCAATGCTAGTGGAAGATGTCATGTAGTGAGTGAAACAGTTACATGGAAACTTTCCCGCATTGTATATAGTGAAGTCCGGAGTACCAAAATTCTCCAGCTCTTCAGGACTGGGTCGGATACACCTGTAACCAACCCAGTTATCTACTTGTTTTACATAGTTTGGATGTCTCGCATTATGACAGTGATACTTTTACATACCATATTGTTTAGATAATATAAATTATATATAAGGCTTTCAACGATATAGGGTACTTATCTGGTGGCGGAGCTTATAACCTACCTTTTTGTATCGACCGAACAAATGAGAAACCAAACAACATAGTGTTGGCAATTTTGTGCATGAACAAAATTTTCACTTACATGTTGTGCATGAACAATGAATGGTATGCTCTGGCTGAGACAATTCTGACTTTGATTCTGTTCTCGGGATCCCAGTTCAAGAATTGATCATTCACAAACACCTGCAAAATAAGGTTTGGATGACAGTGGTTTTCTACTGGCTTGATTGTCAGTAGCAATAATTTTAAGTTTGCAAGCCAAATCCCAACCGCCGCAGTCACATGATCCACCGGATTTCCACCGCTCAAGTAGTGATGAAGGTCCGCCTTTACTTGGAAAACTATGAACCCCGCCTGGGAGCACAACCGTTGCATGGACAATGTCATGACTATCACTGTGGCAACTGCTATGATGTTGATTGTTAATGAAACTGATAGCTTTAGGTATTTTGACGGCAATAGCAGCAAGCTCGTCTTTTGGCTGATAGCTTTAGCATCATTGACAGCAGCTTTAAGTCTTGAAGCAATATCCTTTACAAAATAAAGAACTTGCATCAACTATTCAAAAACACAACAAAAAGCACTGACAATCAAGCCTCGACTCCGCACTAAAACAATACGAAAGCATAAAATTACCTGGAAAACACCCTTATCAACCTTGCATTTTAAAATGCCATTGACCTTTAAGGCATAGAACAAATCCTTAAGAGAGGACGACGACCCGAGATTTTCCACTACCTTCCGACAAGTGGTTATGCTCACATCAGGCTTATTCTCAAGCGCAAGAATCTCAAATACTCTTAGAGCATCACAGGCAAAGGGAGTCGAGAAGAAAACTTGCAGCTGACGAAGAATATCAAGTGTAGAATATCATCTTTGCATATCTTTGAAACTCCGTCCAAGGTAGTGGAACGTTGAACCAATCAGGTCAAATGGCACCAAGATGGAAAGGAAAAGATGCAAAATCGAAAAAGGATGCAGAGGCTGAGGCTGTAACACCCTCTAAACCCCGCATATAATTTTCGCAAATATTAAAAGTATAAACTCAGAGTACATGTAATAATCGAGGAATGCTACAATTCTCTTTTAATAAAATAAATTCCTGTCATGCATAATTTTAGTGGTAACTCATACATGTCTACACAGCGGAATAATTTATTTAATAAAATCAAATGTTATAATATTTTTCCAAAATCATCAGGGATTAACACCTGGAAAAGTCAACGTCATATTATAACAATTAAAAGAAAATAAACGAGTCTGACTAAAGCAGCTCGACAACCAAACGTTCCCGGAGTTACAACTATCAGAGCATGACCCGGACATACTAAAACGAAACTAAACTAGACACGGTAAGCCTTCGCCAAGCACCTGAGCGAAGCTTCTCAATCTGAAATATTCAACAGTAAGGGTGAGCTTCTCAAATATACATTTGGTTATACATTCATAACAATCAATTCACGAAATCATAAGCATCACCCAATAATTAGCATATTTCATAATTTACAAAACCTTTACAATTCATATATCCATGACATATTGCCTTTCATTTTTGCAAATATTCATCAAACATCATCAACCATTTATCAAATCATACGTGCATACAGACAATCAAGTATAACATTGGAAAAAATCATCCATTCATGTTATATTCGAGTAATGCAACACACCCATGCATGTGGTACCACTTCACCGCCCCATTAAATCTCGGGTCACGGATAACTCACCGTTCCATTATATCGCGGACACGGCTACCACCTCAACGTTCCATTAAATCGCGGACACGTATATTGGCCACCATGTTAATTCCACACAATGGGAATTAACAAATGCAACATGATATGTAAGTATGTAACACTCAGCATACTATGAACATCGATCAACATATCATGCACATCAACAATATCAAACATAACATGATATGAAATAGCATGTAACCACTCAGCATACAATTTAAACATCAATCATATCAAGTTACGAATAGCATGTAATCACTCAGCATATTATTCAAACATCAACCAATCACATCAATTATATCATAATTCATGCTCGATAACATATCTAAAAGCATGGCAATAAAAATCCAACATCAAAACACTGAAACCAAAAATTCAGAAAATCATCACAGCAGAGCAACACGGGCACCCGTGTTGTGCAACACGGCCCGTGTTGTGCAGCACATCCAGAAAAACGCACATTTTATTTTTATCAGTACAGGGGATCTGACACGGGTACCCGTGTTGTGCAACACGGCCCGTGTCGTGCAACCAGAAGCACACCCTCTTCCAACACAGAAGAGCAACACGGGCACCCGTGTTGTGCAACACGGCCCGTGTTGCTGAGCGCGTACAGGATTTTCCTGAACCTGCAGCAGCTCAGAAACAGCAGTCCAAACGCGGGAAAACGCCCGCCAAACGCGTAATTCGGTACCTAACGACATCAGGTTTGTACAATTCACAACAACACCACCATATCCAAAATACCAACAATCATTATAGTAACCTTAACCGGGGATTAACCGTCCTTTTGGGGAATTCTACTGACACTGAGGTTATCCCTACAACTTCCAAGGTAATTTCACGATCATGATATATACTCCCAATTCCTCATTTGGGACCTAAAACTCTTAATCGATTCATAAAAATTGGGAACCTAACCCTTTTTAACAAGGTTCAGTACTACGGTTATCGATCCCTAGAAACATCTAACAATTGGGATTTTCCTACAATTACCCGAATCAACCGTACATAAACCCATAAACAAATATAAATCGAGTATAAACCCCCCTTACCTTATCAATTAGCAGCTTTGAGTTCTTGAGCGATGTTCTTCGTTCTCCGTTCTTCAGAGCTCTATTTTCCCAATTCCCAACTTCTGTTCTTACGTGAAAACCAAAAATGAGAAAATGGCCTAAGTCCCAAACATAATTTTATTTCTCTGCACCCCCACTCTTTACTAACAACATCTAAGCCCAATAACATAAAAATCCCAATATTCCTTATTTCTTTTATTTTCCTCAAATACTCCAAAATAAATAATTCTTTTTATTTTATTAATTCTAATAAAATAATTTCCCAAATTTAAATAAATCAAAAATTGAAACTGGGGCGTTACAACTCTCCCCCACTAAAAGAGTTTTCGTCCTCGAAAACATACCTTAGGCGAACAGTTCCGGATAAGCCTCTTTCATCTGGCTCTCCAGCTCCCAAGTGATATTTCCATCTGCTGGAATTCCCCAAGCAACCTTCACTAATGCTATCTCTTTACCTCTTAGCTGTTTCACTTCCCGATCTTCTATCCTCATAGGCAATGTTTCTACTGTCAGGTTATCTCTCACCTGTACATCATCTATTTGGATTACATGAGATGGGTCTGGAATGTATCTCCTCAACTGAGAAACATGAAAAACATCGTGCAAATTCGCAAGTCTCGGAGGTAAAGCAATACGATAAGCAACTTCTCCAACTCTTTCCGTAATCTGAAACGGACCAATAAAACGCGGAGTCAACTTCTTAGACTTCAACGCCCGACCAATACCCGTCATCGGAGTAACTCTCATAAACACATGATCTCCAGCACTGAATTCTAAATTCTTTCTCCTCTTATCATGATAACTTTTCTGACGACTCTGAGAAGCTCTCATCTTCTCTTGAATCAATTTGATCTTTTCGGTAGTCTGCTGAACAATCTCTGGCCCAATTACCGAACTCTCTCCAGATTCATACCAACACAAAGGCGTCCTACACCGTCTACCATACAATGCCTCAAACGGAGCCATACCAATACTCGAATGGTAACTATTGTTATAAGTAAACTCAATCAATGGCAAATAGCTATCCCAAGCTCCACCTTTTTCTAAAACACAAGCACGCAATAAGTCTTCTAACGATTGAATCGTCCTCTCCGTCTGTCCATCAGTCTGAGGATGGTAAGCTGAACTCAATCTCAACTTAGTACCCAAAGCCTTCTGCAATCCTTCCCAAAATTTCGAAGTGAACCTCGGATCTCTATCTGACACAATACTAGAAGGAACTCCATGCAAACTCACTATTTTCTCAATATACAACTGTGCCAATCTCTCCATCGAGTAATCCATTCGCACCGGTATAAAATGAGCAGACTTAGTCAACCTATCCACAACGACCCATATCGCTTCACAATTCATAGGAGTCCTCGGCAATCCAGATACAAAATCCATAGAAATACTATCCCACTTCCATTCTGGAATAAACATTGGTTGCATAAATCCAGACGGCTTCTGATGTTCAATCTTCGATTTCTGACAGATTAGACATGCATACACAAATTCAGCTATTTCCTTTTTCATTCCCGGCCACCAAAACAATTTCTTCAAATCATGATGCATTTTCGTGGCACCAGGATGAATACTCATCCCACTGCGATGTCCTTCCTCTAATATGCTCTTCTTGATTTCTGCAACATCCGGAACACAAACTCTATCGCCAAATCTCATAACATCATTTTCATCAATTCTAAACTCGCCACCTTGACCTTGGTTGATCAATGTCAATTTATCAACTAAATTAACATCAGATTTTTGCCCGATCCTGATCTCTTCCAGAATACCACTAGTAAGTTTCAACATACCCAAACGAACACACCTCGGAGTACTTTCACAAACTAAACTCAAATCTCGGAATTGTTCAATTAAATCTAATTCACGAACCATCATCATGGACATATGCAAGGATTTCCTGCTCAAAGCATCTGCAACCACATTTGCCTTACCAGGATGGTAATTCAAACCAAAATCATAATCTTTGAGAAATTCCAACCACCTTCTTTGCCTCATATTGAGCTCTTTCTGATCGAAAAGATACTTCAAACTCTTATGATCACTATACACTTCAAATCTCGAACCGTACAGATAATGTCTCCACAATTTCAAGACAAACACAACTGCTGCCAGTTCTAAGTCATGAGTAGGATAGTTCCTTTCATGAACCTTCAACTGTCTCGAAGCATACGCAACTACCTGTTGATTCTGCATTAAAACACCACCTAAACCCAACAGAGATGCATCACAATAGACCACAAAAGATTCCACCGGATTCGGAAAAATCAGAATAGGAGCACTAGTCAATCTCCGTTTCAATTCTTGGAAACCTTTCTCACAATCAGAATCCCAAATAAACGCTTGTCCTTTACGGGTCAATTTCGTCAACGGCAATGCTAACTTTGAGAATCCTTCGATAAATTTTCTGTAATAACCTGCAAGACCAAGAAAACTTCTGATTTCAGAAATAGTCTTCGGCGCTTCCCACTGAGATACCGCTTCTACTTTCGTAGGATCCACTGCAATACCATTCTTAGAAATCACATGTCCAAGAAAACTAACTTCATTCAGCCAGAACTCACATTTGGACAACTTTGCATACAACTTCTTATCTTTCAACAACTCTAACACAATTCTGAGATGTTCCGCATGTTCTTCGTCATTCTTGGAATAAATCAGAATGTCATCAATAAAAACCACAACAAACTTATCCAGATACGGATGAAAAATCCTGTTCATATATTCCATGAAAACACCAGGTGCATTAGTAACTCCGAACGGTATAACAGAATATTCATAATGCCCATACCTCGTTCGAAAAGCAGTCTTTTGAATATCTTCCGCTTTCACACGAATCTGATGATATCCAGATCTCAAATCAATCTTACTGAATACACTGGCTCCAATTAACTGATCCATTAAATCATCAATCCTCGGTAACGGGTACCGATTCTTAATGGTTACCTTGTTCAATTGCCTGTAATCAACACACAGTCTCATAGAACCTTCTTTCTTCTTAACCAACAATACCGGAGCACCCCAAGGCGAAACACTTGGACGAATGAACTTCTTCTCCAGTAAATCTTCCAACTGACTCTTCAATTCAGCCAACTCAGACGCAGACATACGGTATGGCGCCATCGACACCGGTCTCGTACCAGGAATCAAATCTATAGAAAATTCCACTTCTCTCTCAGGAGGTAACTCGCCAACATCGTCCGGAAAGACTTCTGGAAAATCACACACCACTGGCAATTCACTACTCCTGACCTTTCCTGTCGCATCTAACGAAGCAAGTAACATAAACACATTAGCACCATCTTCCATTGCTTCTTGCACCTGCCTAGCAGTCATAGTCAAATTCTCGACACCAACTGCTTCTGGGAAAATCACCGTCTTAGCAAAGCAGTTCAGATGAACCCGGTTAAATTCCAACCAGTTCATCCCAAGGATAATATCAATTTGTTCAAGCGGTAGGCACACTAAATCCATACCGAAACCTCTACCAAAAATCTCAATAGTACAATTCCTACATACGAGTGAAGTTGTCACTGAACCCGATGCAGGAGTATCAACAACCATGCTACCTCGCATACCAGATATGTCCAGTTTCAACCTCTCAGCACAATCCAAAGAAATGAAAGAATGAGT